CTGAAATTGCCCATTGATTGACATCTGCACATTTCATAGATGGTTATACTAGGTTGTGAAAATCAAGTGACTTACTGAGGTCATGAAGGTCAATGACTATCTCACCCAGGACCATACCCAGATCTGTCCAACCCTCAGTCACTTGTGATTTAGTGAGGTTTACTGAGCACCTGTTGTACGATACAGTGACTACTAAGGACATAGCAGTTATCATGACCTTTATAGATGGTGAGGGAGATATGCTAGCTAAATACATAATATATTTATTATTTTTGTATGTTCTGTGAAGAAAAGAGCCAGGGATGGCTTGAGTTTTAGTAAGTTTTTCTTTTTATTAAACTCTGCAGTATAATATTAGTTATTTACAACATACAATGAAGCCAGTGAAAAATATACCACTTACTAGTTCAAGCACTATTAATAACACCTAATGGTATGAATTAAGAGTAATATAAATTGTGGCAGGTAGGATTATAGGTGGAAAAGTATCTTCAAAGACCCTGAGGGAATATTGTGTCACATAAGCTTTGGGCAGCATTAACCATTTATATCCTTACTACTTAGGATAAAGACACACATTCATCCACCATCTTGTGGTGCCCTCCACAATGGGTCCATCACCTGACATTCTGGGCAAAGACTTTGATCTCTGCTTATAGGAAATTGGAGTCAGCACTTGAGCATATAAAGGACCCACATATGGAATATAAGTAGTCCCTTTGTGCAAAGAGAGAGCCTACAGAAAGGGAATTCTCATAGCAGGCTGGCTGAACCTGGTTTCTTTTTACTCAGTTATATCCAAGTCACACAATGAAGGAAATGTCAAAGTAACCAGAAATAAGGCCAAACATCCAGTCATGTCCACAGCCAAACTCACTTGTGGCCCAGCACATCCTTAGGACTGGGGGTAAAATCCTCAGGACTGGGGAAAAAGAGAGTTGTGAACAGGAACTGAAAGCTAAGACATTGTCAATGCTTGGAGAAGATGTGTGTGTTTATATTACTTCCTCATTACTTTTTGCTATTCCTGAATCACGGTGTAGTCCCTGCTCCCCCTCCCCAGAGCTGTAAGCCAAACTCCTCACCATCATTTCAGGCTTTGCCAAAGGCACAGTCTTTTTGTCTCTGGATGGCTGATGTACTACCAGCCAGTATGGACAGAGCGTGCTTCCTGTAACTTCAACCCTCTTCCCTGCTAACACTCTCTTCTGTTTATCTAAATGAATACGTGTTTCTTCAGAAAGACTGCAGATCCCTTGGAAGGCAAGAATCTTCTTATTCCAACCCCTGTTGCTTAGTACCACAGCTAACACACAATAGGCCTCTGGAAAGAGTTGGTAAATTTATCAGGTTAGAATCCCCATCTTTGGCAGATCATCCCTGACTAATGGGGAGAAAAATAAATGTTTCTTTTCATTCCTTTGCTACTGTAAACTGCAATTTCCTGAATTCTCTAGCGATTTTACGATGTTCTCTTCTGTGTCTCTTGGTGATGAGTGTCAATACTGAATAGTTAGCTACCTGGGTGGGGCTCTTGGCTTTCCCATAGTCACAATTGTCTCCTATCCTGAAAACTCAAATGTATTTATAATACAGCCTGTGTTGGCATTGCACTGTCCCTTGGGCAAGACAAACCTTCCTCTATAGAAGCAGTTCTCAACCTTCCTAATGCTGCGACCCCATAATACAGTTCCTCATGCTGTGGTGACCTCCAGCCATAAAATTATTTCTTTGCTACTTCGTAACTGTAATTTTGCTGTTGTTATGAATCATAATGTAAATACACAATACGCAGAATATCTGATATGTGACCCCCAGTGGGCTCATGACCCACAGATTCAGAACCACTGTTCTAAAGAAATGGAGAAATCACTCTTTCTAATAAAGATTTTTGTTTGATCCAGGTAATTAGTAAACTTAACATATTTAATAATGGATTCTATGACACTCATTAAATGCTAGGCACCATTCTGACCGTATAATTATATGAGCTGGTTTTTTGCATAAACTACCTTGCCAGGCAGCCACAGCCACTGCCATTGGCCTCATTTCACAGATAAAGACATAAGGATACAGAATGGTTAGAGAACTTGCCCAGGGTTATTTATAGGGATTGTTGGTGTCCTGGAATTCAAATCAAGTAGACTCACTTCAGTACCTATGTTCCAACCACTCTTCCTGTGAATGTGGACACTCGGGGAGAGGTGAAGTCTATACTGCATATCTGAGCCCTCCGTATATGAGTTGCTTTTGCTTTTGAGTGAATCAAGAGCAGGAGGCCTCTTCTGCTTTCCCTAAAGAAACATGCAGGTGTGTGCTTAAGTGTTTCCAAGCTGACTGATTCATTAACTGTGCCTTGAAAACAGACCTGTGAGTGTGTGTGTGTGTGTGTGTGTGTGTGTGTGATCCTATGAAATTCGTATTCACATTGTAACCAAGACAGTCCTACCATTTGTCTCCTCAAAATACATTTTCAAACAACCCAGGAACCACATCAATCAGAACCACTCTGATTCCTCATTGTACCCATTTTGAACCTAGAGGCGACTTGAAGGCAAAATGTGCATTATTTTAAACTATTAAACAATGATAAGTGAATATGATACTATCCTCAAAGGGAAAGTTGGATCAAGTCTCTCTTCTCTATTTTTAATTGTTCTTGTGTTTAGGATCGCCTGGGTCCTCTTTTATTGAATTGGTTCATAGTTTGTGGTGCTCAGGAGACATCATTTACCATTCAGCCCAACAGGAATGGATGTAAAGATAGTTCTGCACCCATGCGTGATGAACAGAACAAACAAGGATAACATCTGGCGGGGGGAACTGCTTCTTTGATGTTGAGGCTATTCATGTCACAGTGTCTGGATACTTTTCAGGTCTTGGATATTTCTAAATTGAATTCTAGGAAGAAAGCATTTATAAATAGTAAGCATAAAAATGAGTACATTTATTCTGTGTCTTCCCTTTTATAGTTCTCATGGCCCCCGCTTCCTCTTCCTGCAAAGCATAGGCTCTCCACGGGCTCTAACAGTTTAACTAGTTCGGTTAAGTTGGTAATTCTCAATTTGATTTAGCACAACACCCCATCTTATAGCAACCATTTAAAATCCCTCGCATTTTTCTTCATTTCATGGATAATGCAAGCTGTGCGTGCAGAATTTCTACGAGTAAATAGGATGCTCTAGTAGTAATTAAATGAGAAATAGCAAGGTAATTTATAGCGGTATAATAACTGTATTTAACATGGAAATACTCTATTACAGCACAAAAATGTGCCACTGCAGACATTTGAGTGTAATACAATTTACCTAATGTAAGGCATGATGAATATGTGAATAGAATAAGAGCAAAGGCAACTAATGAAGAGGTGCTATACTGCATCTGGTGTGATGGTACACTACAGTAATCCTAACAATTCAGAGGCAGAGGCAAGAGGACCAAAATGTTGAAGCCACCCTCAACTATGAAGGGAGTTTGAGGCCGGCCTTGGCCTCTAATGCAGCCTGGGCTGCATTAGACCCTGTCTCAAAAATATCGAAACAAAATAAATGTAAACCAGTGTATGTTGTGGTTGTGAATTAATGACTATACTATATATAATTTCTCAATCTGCATAATAGCTACACACTTGAGATGGCTCTTGTATTAATGCTGTACAACCTCCTTTGTGTTTATATGTAAATGGAGTTACCATTTGGGATGAAATTTATATAAACATGTTTTTTTTAAAAAAAAACATTTAAGCAAATGGCCATATGATATTCAAAAGCTTGCAGGACACGAGGACATTTTGTGTTATGCAGAACACTCTTGGGCTCTACTGTCCGCCAGTGCTGTTGTGTCATTCAGGAACAATCCTTTACATTTCCCTTAATTCTTTCTCCTAGGTGGTAAGCCTTGTACTGGCAACCATAGAGTTAATGCCTATATTGGACTTAGTTCCAAATAATAATTATAACATATTCTTTGACTTTTCGTAGCCCTCAGAAAACAAAGGGATAGCCAAAATAAATGCTCAATAATTGGATTAATTATGAGACTATTCCGTAATTATGCACCATAATTGAAAGACCGAGTCACCCAGCGTACACTCATAGCTCGGTGCTCACCCCAAGCGCTAGGCTTTCTAAGACTCTTTGAATGGATAACTCATTGGGAGTTTCCACGGCTGAGCTAGTGAAAAAATACACATTGTTTAAAGAGAGAGATTTTTCTATTTTCTAGAATGCTTGCCAATACCCAGATGTTTGCTAGGCGGGCAGTGTTGATAATGACTTGAAAAGAAATAATTGCCTCTGTTTGTATAAGTGGCATTAAAATGTTTCCATACATCTGGAATATTTCAAACATTAAAAACCCTCACATCTTTCTGAGTAGGGAAAAGAAACACTGACGACTGACCCATGGCCCTTGACCTAAAATTTTGCTTAATCTTCATAAGGGTCTGTAAAGTTGTTGTTATTAACCCCCTCCTTTTTTTTTTTTTAAATCAAATGAGGCGAAGTCAAAAAGGCAAACTATCTCCTTTACTCAAATAATTGGTTTTGAGTCAAACCAGGCTTTGAACCCAGAAATGCCTAGTTTCAAATAATTTGACTTTTTAAAGCTATTATGTCCCTCCCCTATCTTTCTTAAGTAGGGAAAACATAGTTTTGTGTGTGTGTGTGTGTGTGTGTGTGTGTGTGTGTGTGTGTGTGTGTGAATATACAACAGAAAGATTGTAAATTATGGCTGGGTCCCATCTCACTCTGTATACCAGCAATGTCGTGTCAATCAATTTCTACTTTCTTGGTAGTTTAGTGGTTTTTATACTAACCTTGTTCTTGGCCCCTTTCCTGAGTTCAAAGTTGTACACAAGGTCACACACAAGCTACTTGAGGGCAGGGGACAGGTGCTCTTCATCTTCAGGTTCTTAGAAGCTAGCATGCTTCTAAGAACATCTGACAGGAAGAGAGTGTTTGTTGAGTGGACTTTTAATTGAACGATGTTTCTCCTTCTAGGCCTTGGCCTTACACAATCTTCCAGCGAGGCTTTGACCTGGTTTTGGGAGAACAGCCTTCTGACAAAATATTCAGGTAAGTTCACATCTGGGGATGTGCCTGTGTATGTCTATAAACCCAGTACCCCACCTCCCACTGAGCATTCCTAGTGTTAAACACAGGAAACATTTGGATTTGTTTTGCCTAGTTAGAACGAAAGTACTTGACCCAAATCATGCCCAAGTGGTATCACAGAGGACTGGGAAGTCAGACAAATTCTGTTTGGGTCCGGTCTGATGTCATTCCTTGTCAGCTCAGCAAGCCTCAGGAATGTGCTTAAACTCTCAGATCCCCAGCTTCCCCGTTTGTTAAATGGGGCTGTATTACATGCCTGGCTGGATTATCATGAAGGGTATGTGAGATAATACCGGGAAAGTCCCCAGCACAAAATCTGGCACAGAACGGGCAATTAATGTCAGTTTCTGCCTCTCCACTTTACATCTAATTTGCACCTTCCTCATAGAGTCTTAAGTTGTTCAAAATTAATCTATCCCGCCCCTGCTTCACTCTATTCTCAACTCTACCTCATTATTATTTTCTTTTATCTATTACCCTCCTGATCAAATTTGATGATTCCAGTCCCTCCCAATTTCTACCTGAATATCTGGTAATAAATAGCACATATTAGAAAGGCCCACAAGCAAAGGCAGAATTTGGGTGCCAGCCATGAACTATTGAATTTTCATAAAATTTAATTCACACCAGGCCTTTTCTGGAACATAAGCTTATTTCCAATCTAATATCTTACTGTTCATTCCTGTAGTCAGATTGTCCTTTCTTTTACATACATTTACCAGGTGCCATCTTAGAGTCAGAGATTGCACTTGACCTGGCAGTATGAACTTTTGTCTTCTTCCTTGAGTAAACCTACTTCTTTTATTTATGTATTTTTATATTAATCACAGATTATTTACTTTGTATCCCAGCCATAGTCCCCTCTCTCATTCCCTCCCAATTCCACCCTCCCTCCCTCATCTCCTCCCTGCCCCTTTCCAAGTCCACTGATAGGGGAGGACCTCCCTCCTTTCCATCTGACCCTAGCTTATCAGGTATCTTCAGGACTGGCTGCCATGTCCTCCTCTGTGGCCTAGCAAGGCTGATCCTCCCTCGGAGGGGGAGTAGGAAGAGGGGTAAAGGAGCCAATCCTTAAGTTCATGTCAGAAATAGTTCCTGTTCCCCTTACTAGAGAAACCCAATTGGATACTGACCTACCATGGGCTACATCTGAGTAGGGGTTCTAGGTTATATCCATACATGGTCCTTGGTTGGAGAAACAGTCTCATAGAGGGTCCCCGTGCCCTGATATATTTGAGCAAACCTATTTCTAGAGAAATTGAATATACCCTCACAGGTGGATACTGTCAAAGAATGAACTCAATGATGGCATGCCATTACTGGAGATATGGTGAGCAGCAGGTTTCTGTTACGGCAGTAAAGCAATTGGCTGAGGTTCACCTAAGGCTACCTTCTCCAACCCCTTCTCTGTCAGTCACCTACTTTTTGTGTTGATTTGCCCCTGCATTTGTCTCCTTGACCCAACAAGCTTATGCAACTTGTGCCATTCTCCCACATGATTTAGGATAGAAACAGCCACAGTTCACATTTACAGAACCACTTTCTCAAATGTCTTCTCCTTGCCTTTCAGTCTCCTTTGTGTCTCTTCTAGGGATGGTTAGGTCAAGTTAATGGCACTGGCTTCAGGCTGTTTTTGAATATTATGCTCTATGAAAAATCAACAGTACTACTCAATCTTAAATTTTCCAACAATGATTTTTTTTTTAATTTGGATGACTTTCTCATTTTCTTTTTAATTTTTTTTTATTTATTACAATTTATTCACTTTATATCCCAGCTGTAATCCCCTCCCTCATCCACTCCCAATCCCACACTCCCTCCCTCTTTCCCTCTCATGCCCCTTCCACAGTCCACTGATAGGGGAGGTACTCCCCATCCTTCCATCTGACCCTAGCCTATCAGTTCTCATCAGGACAAGCTGCACTGTCTTCCTCTGTGGCCTGGTAAGGCTGCCTCCTCCCTCAGGGGAAGGTGATGAAAGAGTTAGCCACTCAGTTCATGTCAGAGACAGTCCCTGTTCCCCTTACTAGGAAACCCATGGGCTACGTCTGTGCTGGGGTTCTAGGTTATCTCCATGCATGGTCCTTGGTTGGAGTATCAGTCTCAGAAAAGATCCCTGTGCCCAGATTTTTTTGTTTCTGTTGCTCACCTTGTGGAGCTTCTGTTTCTTCCAGGTCTTTCTATCACCTCCTTCTTTCATAGGATTCCCTGCACTCTGCCCAAAGTTTGGCTATGAGTCTCAGCATCTACTTTAATACCCTGTTTTGTAGAGTCTTTCGAGAGGCCTTCTGTGGTAGGCTCCTGTCCTGTTCTCTGTTTTCTTTATCTTCCGAGGTCTATCCCATTTGCTTTTCTGAATGAGGATTGATCATCTTACCCAGGGTCCTCCTTCTTGCTTAGCTTCTGTTGCTCAACTTTCAGGACAATTGAAGGTAACTGAAACAAGATGATGGGAAATCAGAAGTTTCATTGATTAACATAGGTAAATTCTCCATTTTCTTCAAATTTTAAGTTAATACTGAAAAACAAAGGTTTTTGGTCAAATTTCTATTAGAGCAGAAATTTCATATAAAAATATGTTTCATCTCTACAAGAGTTTTTTCCAAGCTTGTTGGCTTACAAGTGGATGTGGCAGTCATGAGCCATAGAGGAGAGCAGGTGTTTGGTTTAATCCATGACTTCACAGCTTCAAGAGCCAATGGAGTGATCAATACGTTATTAACAATTTTGGTCCCTAGCATGACAATACCTCTTTTCTCAAATGAATACAATAAGTTGTGTTTCACATATTTTGTGCACTTTTAATTTAAAACTGTTCTGTCACTGAAGTCAATTATTTACCAATGGAAATTCTGGAAAAAGTTTGATCTGGTCAGTGATGAAAATCGGCTATTTATTTGCTGTTGTACTAATCCATGACTTTATTCTGATCAATTCCAAGTCAATGCATATTTCTTTAACCTGTGAAACAGAGTTTAAATTCTGGCATTCAAATCTTTACACCACTGAATGTTGACATTCAACTATTAAACAAGTTGCTCTTCTCCTATGGAATGGTCAAATCTACCTTCTACCATATCCAATCTACTCTATCCAATGTTTTCTCATACTCTGTCACTCAGCAAGATTGCATCTTTTCCTCCTAATATAAACATTGAACATTTCCAAGGTCCAGATTAGGTCTCCAGATCTGTAATCTCTTGAGTATCATTCCAAAGCATGATTTCAGATGCTGAAGTTATGACCTTGATAGGCTTGATAAAAAAAAGGTTTTCTGTCTTCAAGTTTTCAGACTCATCCAAGGGGTGATCTCTTATCCTTGGCGCTCTGTGATAATGCAGCCTTTATAAGGACCAATGCACCCAGCACAAATCAATTTATTCAAAAGTTGTTGGGAGTTGTGCCCAGGGAATGAATCCTTTCTAAACACATCATGGTAAATTTCATTTACAACCAATGATAAACATTGCTATAAATCTTCAGTGTACTGATTCATAATGAATGACTATAGTAGTTAATTGTCAATTAATTTATCTCAGTTTTATTTTTAACTTGGCTACTTGATTCAGGATGAGATGGTTGTCTTCTTAAGGAAAGGAAGGGTTCCATAGAGAGCTTTACAGATTTGATATGATTTTGAACATATAGTAGGCCTTTGGCAGGTATATGTAGGCGGTCATTTTAGGTATCTCCCAAGCTCTTGAAATTAAACTAAGAAAAAATATGGATGGTAAACTCAACTTTGAAAACCATGAATTCCAAACTGGATGGAAGAGAGCCCTAATTCAGCCAGCTAAGTTTTCACAGCAAAGACATTCTCATGGTGTCTTATTGTAATGATTCATTCATTCATTCCATTGGACTCTCTCTCTCTCTCTCTCTCTCTCTCTCTCTCTCTCTCTCTCTCATGTCAAGGACTAGTCCAGGGCATTTTTTTGTCTCTATGTCTTCCCTCCAAATGTGTCCCAGTGTCCCTAAGAATAATACCATGTCCTAGAAAAACTTGGACAGGGGAAGTGTAAAGACACCTGGTTTAAGAGCTACGATGTTTTCCCACATTCTCTTTTGCATCAAGCTGGAGAGACCACATATTATTTTATCCATCACTGTCCCTCTGGACAGACGTTTCTATCTGGGTTTCAATAGCATAAAGCTATCTGGGTTTCTACGCAGCATAAAGTTGAGTTCTCAACAGCAGTGGTCATCACCAGCTGTCTACAGAGAGGCCCAATGTGGGAGAGCATTCCAGATGCTCATTCAGCTTCCTCTGGGTGGTGTTTTAAGTCATCCTTGCCAGATTTGCATGAATGAGGGACATATGAGATTTTAGGACACAGCTTTTTTTTTTTTTAACAGCTTAGACTATATTTGGTTTTTGGAGTTGTTAGATTCCACAGATGAAAAATAGTTTTAAAATTTAATCAGCATGGGCTGGCAAGCTACTGGGATCCACACCTGACCAACACCATCTTTCCTTTCTGCAAAGAATTGACCTTTGGGAGGTCACTGACCTCCTTATCGTATTGTATGATGTGTTTGTAAAATTGTGCCAAAGTACTCACTTGAGAGGGCTATCATAAGGATAAATGAGTAGCTCTGCCAAGTGCCTGCCTTTTTTTGAGAGGTCTCAGTAAATTTTAGTTTCATTCCACATCTAACTTGGCTTTCCCTACAGAGAAGTTCATCTTCTGCTCATGGAAAGTAATGTCATTAGCTCCATCCAAACTCAATAGTTAGCTCATATCCTGTTTACCATGAAGAGTTAGCTTTACCAATATGTTATTTAAATTTAAACATTGAGGGTATGCCACTCGGACACCATTGACAATGAAAGAAATAAAATTGTTTGTTGATTAGTTAATAATTATTTCCTGAATGACACCCTTAGTCTAGAAATTGTGTTGACTGTCCTCTGCTACCCAAGTATGCACATTCTGCTTAGTGACAATAAAAACATAAAAATGACAGGTGCAATTCAACACATGAACTGCAGCAGAGATTATGTAAAGGAGAAATAGAAGGGTCTCTTTCTCAGCCTGAGCTTCCGGAGTGTCTAAATGAGTCAGTTTAGGTGAAGAAAAAAGAAAATAAAATCCAGAAAGAAATAATAATAGAAGCAAGAACAACGTGATTAAAAGTATAGAAGAATAGTAGGAACTACAATCATATGATATGGGGAAATGAAAATATGAAGCATGGCTGGGTCCAGAAGAAGCTAAAAATGTGATCATAGTGACACTTTTGGAGTCTTCAACTTTGCATGCACATGAATTTGTCAAATAGTTTCAGTTGGGGCAAGTTATAAGTGTTTTGTTCTTAGGAACCATGTGAGATGGTTGGGCAGGAACCTCACTCTTCCATAAAAATAAAATGTACCAGAGCTTCCAACTAGAGCTTCCAACTATTCCCAAGAGCCTGTTACATTATCCAAGTAAAATTATAATTATAAAACTAAAATGGAAAACAAAGGTCAATGTCCAGTGAGCCACATTAATCCTGATGCCATTCAAATTTGTGGTTCTTCTGAAATGGTACATATTAGCCTTGCTCTTGTCCAAGCTGCCTAGTATAAGTGGCCACCTCAAGAATGTCCTTTGTGAAATATAAATTAAATCATACAAATGCCCAAAGGTTATATAATTCAACCCACATTTATCGTTAAGTCCCAGACTCAGGGCACTTCTGGTCAGCCTGTTATTGTCATATTACCAGATGAAGTGTGTGTGTGTGTGTGTGTGTGTGTGTGTGTGTGTGTGTGTGTGTG